ACCATATCTTCCAGATAGAGAGGAAGGGAAGCTCGAAAAAGTATAACTCAAAGGGTATATTAAACTTAAACTTCTAAGAAGCCAATGTAGAAAATTAAGAGAAGTCAAGGCAAACTAAATGCAAACTTCTTTTAGTTTCCATTGAAAAGTATAACAAGTGAATTGAACACTTCTGTCTAAGGAACTAAACTGCCTTGGGCTATAATGCACTTGATGCAACAGATTTACACCTAATATTGCTAAGGTCGCTTTTCTGAAAGGTACAAATGGAGGGTTACTAGTAACTTGTATCTTGTATCTTAGAATGTATATCCTCACCTGAAGAATGCTAAGTGTCTACTGGATATAGAACTATCCCATAATCTGAACACCTAACAAGTTGAGGATACAGTAAACATTTTTTTTTTTTAACCTTTAGAGCAAAAGAAATGGGGTCAATGTGCACTGCTGCAAAATAGTACAGAAACTCAGATTTCAATCATGAGCAAAAATAATTTTGTGGCTTAATCATATGTGTATAGGTTTGATGGATACCCTCAGCTTGGTGTTGAAAGAGCCTCGTTTGGAATTTTCTAAAGCAGCAGTTGCAAGGAAGGGGAGAGAGAGAAAGTTTTGATGGTGATGTTCTTTGCCTTCCAAAATTTCTCTTTGATCTGAAGTTTCTGCTGAAACATACAAAAGATTGAGAGTCTCGCCTTGACTTCTTAGAGCTGAGCATTGTCAGTGATGTGCTGAAGACCCTTTTGACGATGTTGCTTCAATTTCCGGTAGTTTTAAAATGGGGGCATACAGCCAGGATATATCTAGAAGACATCAACTTCACTGTTAGAAGTTGGACTTTCATCCCCCACCATGGGCTTCAATTTCAAGTTTAAGTCTTCATCAAATAGCTAGAGGTTAGAGTAGTCAATTCTGAGAAAATAGATAATTTCTCCCTGATGAGGTAAATAATAAAAAGATCATTCTAATCCTAACAATAACCCAAGCCCACTCTCATATGCCACTCTCCATCTGCCAAGCATTATCTACTCCTGGCCATAGAGGGAAACTGACTGCAATGAACGGTAAGGACAAAGGATGAAGTAGGAGGAAATACTAGTCATTCTGAATCAATAGTTAGATGCTTCTCACTTGTTACAATGATTAATTGCATTTCTGCTGCAGCTACTAAGCAAGATAATCAATCTTAGGTCCAGTTTTGTAGAGGAGAACAAGAACAACAAGTAGTTAATGAGATAAGAGCTAGATCAAGGGCACAGATGAAAGGTAATCATTTCACTTTAAGAACATCTAACACTAATATGAATGTAAATGGATATGAAAAGGCAATGTACCCAATTTAAATGACTGGATAAACCCAAGTAATGATCAATTCAGTAGGAAAAACCAAACAACTTATTCGTCTTGCTCAATTAATTGATATTCAGCCAGCATAGAAGATCTGATTGCCCTGCGTCAGCCTCACATGATCAATGGTTTCCCTGGACCAAATATTTAAATGACTTTTAAATACATACACATAGTAATTTTCTGAAACATATAAATATTAATAATCTCAGCTTTATGCCTTAGAAGCACTGTGATCCTAAAACATTTAGGTTGTTAAGTGCTCATAATTATAAACCATACTTTAAACCACTTGTTCCCCTCCTCCAAAACAAAAAACAAAAAAAACTCATTAGAGAAAATGTGCCAAGATAATAACTACGTGTCTGTGGGGACTATTAGCGTATTAATGAACTGTGTTTCTATTTACACTTCCATCACCAGAGCTAATTGTTAGTTATTTTAAGGAAGAGGTTATACCTTAATTAACAGAACTTAGTAAATGAAAGCTGGTTGCCTTTAAGTGTGTTCACATTTAACAAGTTTTATTTCACAGCAGGGATTCTAGTTTATCCAATACTTTTATGTGATAACACCTCTGATCAAGGAAGAAAATCTTTAAAAGATCCCAAATAATTAGTTTCCAGAATAGAAACCAACAAAAAGCACAATTAATGAGTAAACTGATTGTTTTATTCCTAGAGCATTAATATACATACACATTTTGAACGAAGGAGATTGAAGGAGGTGGTAACACCCTCGGTATTTAATATTTATAATTTTGATATTTCTAAGTACTTAAAAAAATACAAGAGATTTGGGGCTACATTTTCATTTCTGTAGCATAGTCTTTCTATGAGTCTGACTCCTCTCCATTCTGTCCTGTCTATGCCTTGGGTTTTTACGAAGATTAAATTTAATCATGTACTTTGAAGAACATAAAACTCCATCACTTCTGCTTTACTTTCCTTGTCATCTCGATCATTTCTCTGTTGATTACTTCTCTGTGTAGTTGTATCACCCCTCTCACCCATCTGAATCATATCTCTCCACTTTACGATTCTTTCCCCTTTCCCACCATTTCTCTCTCTACTCTGGCAGAAGGCAGAAAAATAAAAAAGGATGCAGTGGGTGAGCCGGGTGTCATGGGCTTTGTGTATAGTTAATCAAGTCTGGTCTGGACAACCACAGTCACAGTCCACTCCTTTTCCATGTTACCTCAGAAGTCAAGGGAAAATGGAAAGAAAAAGACAAAACTCCCAAATAAATACATTTTAGTTGTCAATTTTATCCCCAATTTTTTGTCGCTTATTCAAAATGTTTTCATCATCCATTCTTCCTCAAAGAAATCAGAAATAACAAATGTAGGACAACTTGAGAAAAAAAAAAAAGTTAGTAAATACAGAAAAATATTTTTATTAATATTTCCTTATTTGATTTTTATTATTTATGAGGGTATGAGACTCAGTTTGTCATATTGTGGTGGCTTGTGTGTTGCTGGAAGCTATGCCACCTGCATTTCAAATACTAGCAGGGTCACACATGGTAGATGGATTTTAGCAAAGCTTCTAGACTAAGATAGACTAGGAAGAAAGACCTGGTGATCTACTTCTGAAAATCATCTAATGAAAACCTCATAGATCACAACAGAGTATTGTCTGATATAGTGCTAGAAGATGACCCCCCTAGGTTGGAAGGCACTGCACAATAGCTGCAACGATGGATTCAAACATATCAAAGATCATGAAGACGGTGCAAGACAAAGCAACATTTTGTTCTGTTATATAGGTAAGGTCACCCTGAGTTGGAGCGGACTTGAGGGCAACTAACAACAACAATGAGCAATAACCAAAACAACAGCAGCAACAACAATAGCAACAGCAACTTATTAATTACTCTGTAGCAGTTAGTCTTCTAAACATTTACAACAATTAACTCCTTTAGTCCTCACTACAATCCCAGAAGGCACATATTATGAGGACCTAGATGCATAGAATTAACTCACCCAGAGCTGCAGAGATAGTAAGTGGGACAGGAAACAGTCTGGCTCACTCTACAGTCTACGTTCTTAAAAACTATACCAGACTGCCATAATGGTTTCTTTTCCACATATAGACTGTGCATTTAATTGGGTATTTGTTCTGTAATTTTAAAGAATTGAATTTTTCTAGGACTAAGACGAGTAGAAATCACTTCAATACATTAAGATTTTTTTCTCTACTCCACCACCAAACTGAATATAAATTTCCTCTGTCTGTGTTATATGATTTATGAAAAAGAATGGAGAGCAGAGAAAGAATCATGAGCAAGACAGAGATGCCTAAGTGAGGGGAGAGTATAAAGCTACACTTCTCCTAGATGAGGCACTGCGTGATTGTCGAGGTCTGGCAGCACCCCTTAGCTGCATCCAGAACATACTAGAGAACCTTTCCGCCCACCTAGATTGAAGGTTTCCTTTTATCAACCAGAAATGACCATACTCAGTTTAGACCAGCCCCAGGTGCTTCCACCTAAAAACTTGGCTTAACAGCTATTTTCCAAACTCAAATTCTCTGGAAACTTGATCATAGCAAAGCCAAAAACCTTGTGTCTATTACAAACAAAAGAAAGGATGCGTGGCCCAATCACAAATTTGCCCTGCTTCAAAAGGAACCGCCATTGCTTAAATGACAACTTACCAGAACCTATTCCTTTTTCCCAACTAACTTCCTCAAAGCCTCTTATATAAGGAGACTACTGTCTTTCCCAAATCAAAGTGTTTGGTATCTCCATTTGAATGCCAGGCTTTCTCGCTGCAGCAATTTGGTTTACTCCTAAATAAAATCTTTATTAAAAATTTTCATAACTCTACTTCAGAATCTGTCACTGAACACCGCCTCAGGTTTCGCTATTGACCGTTGGGATGCCCCTAGCTCGCCTTGCCTTGAAAACAGACAAAAACCGCACACTAATTGGAGCGATTTAAAGGAAAAGGGCTACCTCCCCTTCTCAATTCCTTCCCAACAGCATTTTCTTCTCCCCAGGAGTTTACAAGTGGCTTCTAGGGAGACCTCCTGGGTATTTAAGTGTTTAACCCAGAGGTATGGTTCAAGTGAAGGAAAATTGAGACCAAGCAGAAACATTGAAGAAGCCAGGATAAAGGACCTTTAGGCCTTTACATGGCCTTCTTGTAAACAGGCCACTTAAAGCTCCTGATAAGGGCTTCCAGTTACCTCCTCTATTTGCTTTGGTGCCAGAAAGAGTGTCAGGAAGAACAGAGGGAGTTTCTTTCTCCACAATATGAAAAACAGCAAATTGTGAGAGTTAAGCACTTTGTTCATGTCTTATGTTAGAATAATTACAATATCTAGAAAGTTTTGAAACATTATTTAATCTATTCCACTTGCTTTCTGTCCACAATATTACTCCTTCAGCTTAAAACAAACGTAAATCTAGAGATCAAGCCAGCCTTCCTGAAAAAGAGAAAAATCTGTTCTGAAAGCTTTCGCCCCTAACCAATTGCTAATTTGGCACTAAGCCAAATGATTTTGAAATACATAGCAAATGATAAACATAAGATAAGCATAACCACAGCCAAATACCCTCTTGGAGAAAAACCAGTTATAACACTAATTCAATAGTTTGGAAAAACATAACTTCTTTTCCCAAAGAGAGAAATAAGTACAAGTACTTACAGTGTCATGGGACTTATCCTTGACATCATAGACTGTTAGTTTTATTTTGGTCTCTTCATAGATGGGGTACTCAGATGGGAATGTGACACCAGTCAGGAACAGTGGGTCTCTTGTTCCCTGTAACACCACAAGCAGACAGCTTTGATTCAATAAGGCAGCAACTGCCGTCGGCAGCATGCAGTGACACATGAGCACGCAGAGTGTGTCTGTGCCTGTTTATTTTTCTAGGAAATAGTTCTATTAGAAGAGAGATCTGCATTGCCAAATAAATGATGCTCACGGGTAACAACAGGGCCCTGGGCCCCAAACTACTGATGTAGCCATTGATAGGAAATGGCCCTGCACCGTTGTCAGAGCTGCTAATAGCGTGTCTTGAAAACCAATTTATTTTCATTATATGGCAGAACTCTTCTTAGGAGTCTGTTGTCGTCCATTTAGAATACATCGAATGGATACAATCTGTAATTTATGCAAATAATCTAAGCTATTGACTGATCAAATTAAAATGAAGATATTTTCTCATACAGGGCTATTGGTAATCTTATGTTGTCCATTTATTTCCATTCTATCATGATTGAATTTGAAAGTCATGCTCTGATAGTGTCCATTTGTTTTTAGATGGTCAGATGTGATTTCTTCCCAGACCAACTTGAAAACTAATGAAAGAAACTCTAAATAGGATGGATTTGGGGCTATTAAATTTCTGGTTTAGAATGCAGTGCACAGGATACTTCAATGCCTCAGAATTCATTTTTAGAGAGCTGACATTCAACATTAAATTTTATTTATATACATAAATATATATATTGTGGATATCATAGGAACGTCTGCTAGAATTCTACAAACCAGTTGCCTATGGACGTTTCTGAAAGCCCGAGCTATTCATTCATTCATTCATTCCTTTATTCAACAAATACTACTTTTTGCTCAGCACTGCATCAGACTCTGAAACAGGCAGTGAATAAAAGTCAAAAATAGCAATATATGTACAAATATAAGATTCTGAACTGTAGCAAAATAAATAGCTTCTAAGTGTTAGGCAATATTTAAAAAAAAATATTTCCCTTGGAATAATACTTGAAAATCTTATTCATATAAAATGAATTAACAATTTTGCAATTTTAGGCAAGGTTTTTTCATATGAATAGGACTATTTTTGTTAACTCAACTGCAGCATTAACTACGAATTGTACCAGCATTGAAACCTAAATTTTCCAAAGGGCAGATTCAGGGCTACATGCAGTATCTGGGTCATTTCCCATTATAGAAATGAGTCAAGTTCAGCCTGAATCATTTATTCCACCAACTGCATCAAGGCAGGCGGTTGGCACTGAGCAAGCCGTGTCTGGGTTGGTTAGTAGAAGCTCCTCATTCAAAACAGACGCACCTCACAAGTTTAAGAAAAACAAGCAAATCTTGAGTTCAGAGAGCACTTTCTTCAGCCCCAGATGTTCAAATAAGCACCTCTCATTCACTAAGGTTGTGAAATATATGTGATCAGAGCAAAATAATCAAAAGGGAAACGCTTACTCTTTTGAATGTGATCCAACACAACAAGTTTCCTCCTAACACATCTGAATGTTATACTAGTAACAATAAATGTAAATAGGAAATCACTCATCTGATAAGTAATATTCACACCTTTGCCTAGAAACATTACAGTTTCTCAAATTAATCGTCTACTTTTCTTTGGAAAATGCTGTTTGTTAAAAAGACACACACCAACAGCACAGAATACAGTTTCCACAGACTGAAAACTACAGGAAAAAATAAAAAAGGTAAAAGCACTTAACATGTTCAAAACTTTACATCTTTACAAACTTTACAACTTTCTTTTTTCCCCAAAAGAAATAGTTATAACATTTAATTTAAAATTGATGTTTTATTTTTGCCTCTATTCCTTGCTCTATTTGGGGATTCAAAGTGGCAACTTTTCTTTCTACCTACAGAAGAAAAATAAGTCCTTTTGTAACAGGCAAATGCTTCCTATTTGTTTTTTCTGGTACGTTACCAATGCATGCTTAACAATCTCAGGTATGCTTTCCTTAATGACAGAGGATGATCACATAACATTGCTACAGACCATGACCTAACTTACTTCAGCTGCTTGTTAAAAACTAGAGACAGACAGAGAGAGTCAGTAACACAGACACACAGCATGAGTGCTCACCTCCACAATTTCCGTGCTTGAATATCTTGTCAGACTCTGCTCTGCAGGGTGGATTACTGAGATCTGCACCAGTGTATTCAGCTTCCGATCACGGACAGGAGCCACAAGATCCTTGCATGCTGGCAATGGCAGAGGAAAGAGAAAGAAAAGAAACTAATAACATCTCAGAGAAAACTTTGGTCCCGGGTTGGAAGTAAACTTCGCTAAGGCGCTGTATGAAACCTCCTGGGACTAGAGCTGATTTTTACAGAGGAAGTCTCTTGGAAGTACCTTACAGAAATAGGAAGTCACGTGCTGCCGGGCTGAATTGAGAGTTCATTTCCACTGACCACATTTGCAGCTCATGAAAGTCTTGACTGCCCGGGGATCCCAGCTCTAATGTATGACTTATACACATACCGCTTCGGACTTCAGTGACTGGGGCTAACTTCACAGCTATCACTTTGGCTTTCTGCTAATTAATCATTAAACCCTGGGCTTCAATTCACACTCGCTAAGTGGGTTGATTTGGACCACATCTGGAAACTTGAGGCTGTTCTTTATTGATACTGGTTAGATTAATTCAAATGTTCGAATGTATACTTGGTTCTGCTCTAGGCTATTCCCTAGAGCTGGCCTCCTACAGACGTGCACACAGACAGTACCTGGGAAGAGCATTTGCCTTAGTGCAGTGGCACACAGGCAGGTGAAAAGGAGGCAGAAGAATAGTGAAAAAGCCCTCTGCCTGGGATCCAAACCAAGCCTGAGAGAGTATAACTTGGGATATGCATGGGTTAATTCTTGCCCAGGGGCCATAAGAGTAAGAACCAACCCTTGAGACACAAGGCTCATATTACAGACTCTCACCACAATACCATATTTACTTGAATATTTTCTCCTCTCACAAAGCGTTCCTCCAATTTAGGGAGAAAAAATCCAGAAAAATATTCCTTTCAGCAAATCCAACATCTCTCTCCTCACTACGTCCTCTCCCCGCTTCCCGGCTTTGGATAGTGATTTCACTCTCCACAGATGGGTTGCTAAGTGTAATGTGCAGTGTTTTCACCAAATGGGGGTTCAAGTTACTTTTCAGCTGGTGGCTTGTGTCAGGCTGGAGCCATAGATGGGGGAACAGACATAGCTGGGCACCCTGCCTATCTCTCCCTATTTCTACCTTGGTCTTGGGTATCATGGCGAAGGGCTCTACGGTGGCACAGTGGTTAAGAGCAAGGCTGTTAACCAAAAGGTTAGAAGTCTGAATCCACTAGCTGTTCCTTGGAAACCCTATGGGGCAGTTCAACTCTGTCCTATAGCATTGCTATGAGTCAGAATCTACTCAATGGTAATGGGGTTTCTTTGTACCATCCCTATACCACGTCTTTGACCAGCGTAGGAAGGCAGGAAAGGACAGGCGTATGTATACTATGCCATGGCACTGCAGTATTAAATCTGAAACTTGAAAGCAAAGAAAATTGTAAGTGCAATTATCACCTTTCAACCACCTGCAAATCATCTCATTTATGGAAAGAAGCAGACTGGGAAAGAAGAAAAAGCAGGAGCTTTTGAATGAAACAAACAAAAAAAAAAAAAAAAAAAAAAACAGAAAACAAACCAAACCCATTGCCATCAAGTCAATTCTGACTCATAGCGACCCTATAGCACAGGGTAGAACTGCCCCATAGAGTTTCCAAGGGGCATCTGGTAGATTTGAACTGCCAACCCTTTGGTTAGCAGCTATAGCACTTAACTACTATGCCACCAGGGTTTCCGGAATGAAACAAGCCTAGTTTAATTCCAGTTCTCTTAGTTGAGCAAACACGGGAAAATTATTTAACTTCTTTCCACTTCAGTTCTCTCCTCAGTAAAGTAGGGTCAGAGGACCCACCTTACAAGGTTGCTATGAAGATGGCCAGGCTGGGGACAGGTCTCTTTCTGCATCTAGTGCCTAAGTTTCCAGTAAACATTACTTGTCAACCTACTTACTTCCTTCCCATGCCAAGACTAACCAAAGGCACGACAAATTTCACATTTCTCTTTAGAGATTTCTAAATGCAAAATGAGACCCTATTATAAGCCTTTACAGATAACTCATCCATACTCCTGAAGCTAAATATAAAACCATGCTTATCCTCAGGGAAAATGAAAATCAGTGGAAATTCGTCTTTGTGTACTACTATTCATGTAGATGACTATTATATATTTTAGAAAAACCTTTATCCTTTTCTTCTGAATGATCCCAGTTATATCATTGAAACCTTTAAAGTATTGAATGGCTCTGTGCTAAGCCACTTCTAAGACCTGTTCATCTCTATTAACGGTGGTGCTCAGACTCAGAGACTGAGCTCCATTTAGAGTAGTTAGAATGGCAGAATTATCGCATTATTCTAACACTCTCAATATCCACCCAGCAAAGAAAAGAGGCAGGGGCTTAATAATTAGCAAAATGCTACAAGTGATCATTTACTCTTATTGGTGAAAATTGTGTTTTCATAATGGAAGACATAGATTGTCTGAAAATGTGGTGTCTTGCCAGACTTTGGTATCCCCTTGCTCCTGTACGGCTTTTATCATAATTTGTCTGTATTCATACCACATGCCTCTAGTAATCCAGGAGAGTTTAGGAAAGCATGCGTGAAAAAAAAATCTATATTTTATTTACCTATTGCCGTCAAGTCGATTCTGACTCATAGCGACCCTATAGGACAGAATAGAACTGCCCCATAGGGTTTCCAAGGAGCAGACGGTGGATCCAAACTGCCAACCTTTTGGTTAGCAGCTGAATGCTTAACCACTGCACCACCAGGGTTTCCTTTGAAACATGAAGCACTCACAATTACTTCATGAGAACCCTCTGGTAGCTTACATCATACCCCATTAGCTCCATTTCTTTTCGTGGGCTACTGACTTGCTCTCCTGCACAATGGCACCTCTCTTTGAAAACCCACTGCCATGTTTCTTTATTGCTCAACCCAAGAGATCTACAGTTTTAGAAAATACTGATGCAAGTTTTCAATAATGTCAAATATCACTGGAAAGGAAAAAACAAACAAACTAGATTTAGACTTTACTGTTCTGTAGTGGTTATTTTAATCACTTCCTTTAAGGATGGTTTAATTTTATCACTCAGTCTCTTGGTTTTCTGCTCAAAGTGAACAGCTTTATCTCCCTGTACTGATACTGACACGTCTGTCTTTTGGTTTTAAAGCTGGGGCCACTGTGTTTCAAACACACACATCTTGTACTCTTTCTGCGTAGCCTCATCTCTACCTTACTAGTTCTTGGCATCTTTGCTCAAAATAACTCACTTCTTTTCTGATTTCTTATCAGGCTTGATTGTGAGTTGTCATTGTTTCCCAGAAGTGAGCAGTTGTCCATTTTATCAGAGAAACTCTTAGACTCTCTCCCAATAAAAACAGAGAAAATCTCTATTAAAACTGAAATATTCTGTCAGCTCAATTTGCAGATCCCTACTACTGATAATGTAAAAACAATGACACTTTGTACTTCATTAAGTCTATATACTAAAAAAAGCATAGATGTCAACAACAACAAAAAAGTTATATACTGAGCTACATATAGCTCTTTTCTTACCAATAGACCAGAGCATTTTCTGTTCCCTAGGAGCCCTGGTGGCGCAATGGTTAAGTGCTTGGCAGCTAACCAAAAGGTTGGCAATTTGAACCCACCAGTGGTTCCTCAGGAGAAAAGACCTGGCGATCTGTTCCCGTAAAGATTACAGCCTAGGAAGCCCTATGGGGCAGTTCTACTCTGTCAGATAGGGTCACTATGAGTTGGAATTGACTCAATGGCATACAACAACAACAGTTCTTATCCAACAAGATGTCATAGAAAGACCCTGAGATCAGTCAGAATTCCTCAGTTGTAGTCCAGATTCTTTGTTCTCTGGTTATATGACATTGAGTAAGTCATAAACTCTCAGACACTCTATCTCCTCATCTGTCTACTCACCTCTCAGGGTGGAGGTAAGGAAGAAATTAGGCCATTTTCATGGGCAGACTTTTCTATGCAAAAATCATGTTTAATTGTATCATTATACTAACATTTACAATATTAATGCTAATAAGTTAATAAAACTAATTAAAATGGTCTTATCACCCTGCAAAGTGGCTTTTATTACCGCAGTCATACTCCGTCAGCTCCTTGAAGACAGTCAGCAGGTCTAAAGCTTCCGGGTAAATAGCAAACCAGCACGAGTCATTGCATTTCATAAAGTGAAACCTGTACACACCATGTACCTACAGGTACTGAAACGGCCCCACTGAAGGGGTGACAAATGATGAGTGATTGGATTGCTTCATGGAGATATTATTCATCTGATCATTTTCAAATCTAATCTACCTGAGAATTATTCAGTAGCCAATAAAGAAGCCTGAAACATCTGTTTTCAGATAAATCAAAAATTGTTATATTAGTCTTCCAGCTACACCTACCCTGTCTATTACCTAAATAAAACTACTCCAGGAGTGGCCTGTATGAACGACATTCCTGAACTCATCAGACTTAAACAATACAATGCTTTGGTGATTTTGTTTCTGTTTTATTTTGTTTAAGAATTCTGACCATTTGACTGAAATGAGTAGTGCTGCGGATTGAACTGTGTCCCCCCCAGAATGTGTGTCAACTTGGCAAGTCCATGATTCCCAGTATTGTGTGACTGTCCACCATTGTGTCATCTGATGTGATTTTCCTATGTGTTGCAAATCCTATCTCTATGATGTTAATGGGATGGGATTAGTGGCAGTTATGTTAATGAGGCAGGACACAATCTAAAAGATTAGGTTGTATCTTAAATCATCTCTTTTGAGATATAAAAGAGAGAAGTGAGCAGAGAGACAAGGGGACCTCATACCACCAAGCAAGAAGAGCCAGAAGCATGCATCTTTTGGACCTGGGTTTCTTGCACTGAAATGCTCCTAGACAAGGTGAAGATTGAGGACAAGGACCTTCCCCCAGAGCCGAGAGAGAGAGAAAGAGGGCCTGAATTCAGACTTCCAGCCTCCTAGACTGTGAAAGAGTAAATTTCTCTTTGTTAAAGCCATCCACTTATGGTATTTCTGTTATAGCAGCACTAGATAACTAAGACAGGTAGTAACAAATAAATGCTACTCTTCAATCATTC